TGATCATTAAACTTGTTAATAGACCGGTTCGGTTTTTATTTTTTTAAAATAGAGTTGCTTTCATTTCATGATATATAAATGAATCACAAAATGATAATAAAAGAGATCAAACTCAGTTTGAATTTTTGAAAAAAAACATCAGTAAAAGTCGTTGTAGCTTTTTGAACAAGAATTTTTTTTATGCAGCTGAGCAGCTGCAGCTGCCCCAAAAACACCCTAAATGAGAACTATTTTTTGTTATAATCAAGTTCTACTAATTCTAGAATAAAAAATAATGGATAATTGCAAATAACAGACCGCCCCAAAGATTGATGTTTTCAAATTAAGCAACCGGGAGAATTTTTTTTGAATTATCGAGCCGATGTATTTATGCATGACACGATAAAACTATTGAGAATTTGATAAAAAATGAAAAATATTGGTTAGGGTTTTACCATAAATTTTGATATTTGAGTGAGAATTTGAAAAATTAATGAAAGATGATGATTGATTTGTAAATAAGAAGTTTGGGGTGATATGTATGTAATTGACCCAAAAAATTAACCCTCCTTCATTCTGGAAGAAATCGAGTAGTTCGTTTCTTTCTTTCTCGGAAAACATCCCTCTCATCTCTTTATTGTTTTTTATTATTATATGATGCTTCAACATAGTGCAATCATACTTTCATATAATCTTAGTCCCCAAGACATGTTAAGAAAATTGAGTTTAATGAAGCTTGAGTTTGCTAACCATTATCTTGAAAAATCAGGTGTTGATGCAATAATCTTGAATTAATTAGTTACAATATTGAAAAATCAAATATGAATTGAGTTGTATAGCCGTCATCTTAAAAATTAAGTACAAATAAATCATCAAGTTGTTGCCCTCAATTTTAAGACATTTGGATCAAATATTACATAAGATTATTTATGCAATTAGAATTCAAGCTTAACATGACAATATTTCAATTCTTTCAATCAATCTTGACCCTAATTGTATCTCATATGAATAATCCACTACTCTATTGTTAAAACTACCTTAATGGTGTCATCTACTTTTTGTTTATGTCAGGAGAGATGCACAAAAATTCGTGACGACCGATTCAAAGAGATTCGAATAAAAAATTTGAAAAAAAATGCATAAAATAAGAAAATCACAGCAAATGCAAAAAACATAAAATTTAATGTGGACAAATTCTGAGAATGGGAAAAAACAATTGAGCCACACTACAATAAAAAATTCATCATGAAGAAAATAAGTAGAATTGTAAGGATTACACCAGATTCGAGCCTCTCCACATTCTGGAACACTTCAGAACACAACACTCTTTTGCACAAGAGAAAAATCAAAATCCAACCTTACTCCTGTCGAAAAAGCGATAAATAGAAATTTTCCAAAAATTGGTTACGGGGGCCACAATATGGTGTTGTAGTGCTCCAAAGGGCTCTAAGGCAATGCATCAGGAGCTCTACAGTGTCACATTCTCGAGTTTTGAATTTGGACTATGCGCTACGACATTGTTGGTCTTGACATTGAAGTGCTACATTTGGGTGTGTGGCGCTCCCCTCTTGACATTTGATTGTCATGCTCTCTAGTTCTAAAACTTGTATCAGTTGCAACGACCTTGCCTTCTTGGCGTTGAAGTGTTGTTTATAATAAAACAAAATTTTTGAGTATAGTCCCTTTAACCCAATATAGCATGGACACCCCCTCGTACCCCCCTCAACAAACTCTTCATCAACTTTGATCGATGAGACTGAGGGCTTTGAGTGACCAATTGATTGACGCAATTAGACTCCACATAAAACAATCTTCTATTTGGAGACTGAACGTAATCAATCCCACTCCTTCAAATTTTGCAACATTTTCATAGTTATGAACCGTAGCGTACCTCACCATAGTCTCAACTGTCGGCTTGATCTCAGTCCATTAGGCAACATCTAGGCCCACTCCGCTCACTGACAAAAATATAATTTATATATGGAAAGGAGGCTCGAACACAGGGCAACCAGGAAGAGAGAGACAGATCAATACCATCCGAGCTACACAATCTTTTATTTTATGTATGTATGTATGTATGTATAGTATAGAAAAATAATGAAAGAACAAATAAGAAATCCTAAATTCTAGTATTTTTGGATGAAGAAACTAGTTTCACACAAAAACATAGGGGCAACTAATATGTCATCAATAAGGCCATGAACATGGATCTCAGAGCACTTATTTACTAAGAAACGTTCGAACTTCAATTAAAAAGCATCTAGAATTCCGATTTAAGCAAACTTGCAATCAAACTAATTGGCTCGACAAGATGAACACACAGACGACATTGGTCTAATCTGAGTTAAATCAAGCCCAGATTGAGCTATTAAGACATTTTTGAAAGCTTTTATTGCTCAATTGCAAAGTCTAATTGATTCTAAATCTGAGAAGTTTAAGTGGAATACAACATCTTAACGAGACGAATCTAACGAGCACAATATCACTGAATTATGACATCCTTAAAGCACTCAAATGTCTACAAAATCTTATCAGATCTAGAGGTCCTCTATGAGTTGTTCGATGGAGTAAACATGATTCTTTTCTTATTTACAGTGAGGCCTCCCTTGGTCTCTATAAATAGAGTCATACTCTCTTCATAAATGGGGACAGACCGTGAACTAGAATAAGGTCGGAGCTTGGAGAAGAAAGAACTAAGATCTACTGTTCTACATCGAAGGTCCAACGAATCCCACTGTCTCCTGTAGTCGTCGATCACCGTTAACCACCACTCGTCGGCCACCATTGACAATCATTTGTTGTCCCCTGCTCGTTGCAATAAAACCCTTTTGAAATGACAATGTGTGTGTGAAATCTTGTTGTGCGTTACACAATAAAGAAGCACCTGATAGAGCTGCATGTTGCCCTAAACAATGTCCAGTGACGCACCTCAAAGGCGAGGTACTGAAGTTCCTTTAACTTCTCCCAACTACAATCACTACTCGTTGTTGTGCAACAAACATTATACATTAAAAAATTGCGTAGTTCTTTCTCCTCAAAGGAAAAATAACCACTAGATGATTTTTTTTAATTTTATTTTTTGTGTTTTTCATGTAAAAAATTAATATGAGATGAACTTTCGCGCAACATTAATATGTTAAATAATCACTCAATCACAACGAATATTTTAACATGCATCAAATCTATAAATTATTTATGAATCACTCCTTCAAAAATAAATATTTAAATTTTAATGATATCCTACTCAAATTTTGATTATAATAATTTGATCTCTTTTTTCTTAATATGATATTCTCACATGATATCAAATAGAAATAAATAGAATTCCAAATATATTTGTGCTTCATAGCTTAAGATTCTAGACATGACACATGTTTAGAATGGCACGAAATAACTTGTGGAAAATAAAATAAAAAAAAAATATATATATATAATTTTAATTTCGTAGAGGGAGAAAACTACACGTTGAATAAAAAACACTATTTGTTTTTTTTTTTAATTTTCAAAATAACCATTCACTTTTAAGAAATTCTTGCAGTTCAGTGGCTTATTAAATTGTGACTAAGCATAAACGTGACTCAAAACGGCCACAATCCACCAACCATCTCCTGGATCCAGCTAGTTGAAGCTCCCAGTAAAATCAAATTTCCACGTGTAAATCGAGACTACACAAACCGGCCGAACAAGAGAATGCAAGAATTATTTTTTAATGAAAAAGACGTGTAATATTATGCTAAGAGCTTTTTGGAAAGCGGGCCAGCCAGGTTGTCATTTGGCCCACCAATCAGAAAACTGGCTGAGAATCCGCCATTAAGATCCACCGTCGATTCAGCTTAGTTTTAGGTCCGTCGTCTCGTTTGCCAACTGGACCTATCACGAGAACTGAGATCATTAATGTAAATTATTATAAAGTCAAATATCGTGGCACTATCCCCAGAATGCGCTCACCATACCACCGCGTTTGGCCGCATAAAACAGATCGACGAAGCTTCTTGTGCAGCCGGAACTAAAGCTGTCCACAGTTCTGGGTCTGATTCGGTCAATTCGAGCTTAATATTTGAGTTGGATTAAATTCGAGTTAACATAATTATCAATCATTGTTGTAAGTTTATATTAAAATGTTTAAAATGCACTGAGGTCTTAATGGCTAAATCAAAAATGCAATAGCGCCGATCCTAAAGTGATGTAATAATGCAGAATGGAGGAGTTACGATAAAGAAGGGTCCAATGATAAAATATCAGGAGCACCAATTATCTGATTAGATGTAGTCATCTGAATCAAAGCTGAAGACTGGCCGAGTCAGAAGAAGAATAAAAAGAAAGACCATTCGATTTGAATCTGAACAAATCTCATTAAAGCAAGACAGATAAACATCTTAGCTTATTGCGACAAAAAAGACTGATCGAAAAACCTCAATTTACCTTCTAGTAGATTTAAACCGAGGAAAAAATCCAATTTATCACAATCACCAACCCTCCCATGGACGTCATTAATGCTCCTCATCAACGACCAAGAATTGGCAATATAATAGTTGATGAATCAGTGATCTATCGGGTTACAGTGATGTATTCTCTACTCATAGTCAAATCTCGTTCAATCGACGAAAACTCTTCATTTAGGAATCGATGGTCGACAGTAAAATTAGATTAACCTGTCAGCAAAATCTAGCCGACTGAGTCAATCGCACTGATCAAAAGTTAATCAAGCTCAATCGACCGTCAACATAATGAGAGTATTGTCATCAATTTTTTGTATAAAAAATATTTTATATTTGTCCTAAACATTAATAAACATAGAAATTTTTGAAATAAAACCTTTTTTATTCATGAACGCGGGCAACGAGGAATCCAAGTTTGAAGAGGCCTCCACCGTCATTTCAAAAATTTGTAGAGCATAAATATTTAAGTAGGGATTTTTTAAATCTTCACGCGAATTTACATCCAAGACATTCAACGTTCCCACGCCGGCTGATGTCCCGGCTGGCATTCACTACTTCCCGTATTAGATTGAAAACTCTTTCTCGCTTCTTCCCTGCAAGCGAGGAGAGCGAATGAGCTCGCGTTTTCTTCTAATGGCGAGATCAAAGACGAAGCAGATCTCGTACATTGCGGTACCTTCGCATTTCATCGACCCACTTTCGTCTTCTTCTTTCCAAGGGATCTTATCGCCGAAGAAGGTCTCTCGGCCACCGCCGGCGTGCTGCCTATTCTCCTACGCAAGAAATTCTAGAACACTAATCCTTTTTCTACTCTTCATCATCTCTCTTCTTGGGTTTCTCCGTACAGACTTCCGCGACAATCCCTTGCTCTCTTATTCTACTCTCCCCTGCGTCACTTATGGCTACCGTGGGTGGTTGAAACCGTCCGATCAGGCAGAAGCGTCGTCGCTGGCGGCGGCGACGGTTGAGCAGTGGAAGGAGGAGGTACATGAGGCGGAATTTTGGAGGCAGCCGGAGGGTTTGGGATATCGACCTTGCCTGGAGTTCAGCAGAGATTACAGGCGGGAGAGTGAGGCTTTTCACCAGGATCGCCGCCGGAAGTACCTGATGGTAGTGGTCTCCGGCGGGCTAAACCAACAACGAAACCAGATCGTTGACGCCGTCGTCATCGCTCGCATTCTCGGGGCCGCCCTAGTAGTACCGATTCTTCAAGTTAACGCAATCTGGGGCGACGAAAGGTAACCAAGGCAATTTAATTTCTGTTAAGTTTCCCTAAGAATCCTTTGATTAACACATTTACCTTTCCTTACTTTGAGTTCATTCAGTATATGGATAGAATGGATAGGAGTCTTATGGTTTCTTTACTACTCTGATTCATGGCAGTGAGTTCTCTGACATCTTTGACCTGGATCATTTCAAGAAAGTGCTCGCCAATGATGTCAGGATTGTCTTCTCTTTGCCTTCGACCCATTTGATGACGAGGCCAGCGGAGGAGAAGATAACTCCCTTCCGTGTCTCTCCTCAATGGATTCGATCAAGGTATCTTCGGCGGGTGAGCTCTCTTTTTCCTTTATTCTTCGCATTTTGATGCTGATAATTTGAAATAATTTGAATCCAATATGGAATGTAGCATTAAGTGCTGTTTGGCTTCGATCAGAATATAGTAAATCTTATAAATTTAGATTTATTAAATTGTTGCAGCATTAAAGGGCTGTCTAGCAAGAGATCTGACCCAGGATTTATGCAAGCTTTGTCCTTTTGGACAAAATAAATCCCCGGATTTCGTAAATTCAGATTCCGCGGATTTCGGCTGTAAATCCCATAAAGCCTAAGGCGGTGTTTGGCTGTAGCTTCAAATTTATGTTAATAGGATTTATCAAATCCGGAGTAATTCCATGTAATTGGCCTAACAACCGGATTTGATAAATCCAGATTTAAATCGCACATGAGACTGAACGAGAGGAGAAACAGACGAAAAGGGAAAGAATTTGATTTAATTAAGAATTGGATTTGGTTTTCCTTCTTTTTGGTGTTTGGTTGGATTTAGGTGAAATTCATGGCTAAATCATGTTAAAAGTGTGCTATCAAACGGCCCCTTCCCATGAATCGGTGGATTTAACTTCGCAGGGGTTGGGATTTAACTTCACAAGGCTTTCGACTGTCTCCAATAGGCGTAACTTCTTAAATCCTTGCAGAAATTGTCAAACAGTTCTATTAGATTCATACGATTTAATAAATTAAATTTTCGGATTTAACCTGTAAATCCGGATTTACTAAATCCTAATACCCTAAATCATCCGTTGGCAAACAACACCTAAATTCTGAAAATTATTTGACATAATAGATGCTATATTTTGGGTACAATGGGTACAACTTGTATGAATCTCTTAAATTTTACTTCCCAAATTTTTACTAAATCTGGGATCAAGCCTAAAACGAGAAGAAAACTGGATTTAAAAAAAAAAAAAAAAAATTATATGCTAAAAAGTTATATGGCAAGATTTAGCTTAACCGATGGCTAGATCTTGGCTAAAACTTGCAACCAAATGACAATGAGAGTAAAGATTATTGCAGGCGCAGCAATAATTCAAATACTAGATTATTAGCTGTATTGGAATTGGCATCTCTAGGATATTTCACTTTTATTTAGATGTTATTTAAATTCCATTGTCCGTTTTCTGCCATGAATCTTGTTTATTCATTCGTTTTTATCTCTCTCTTCAGTTCAACAGAGACGGCGTTTTGCTCTTAAGGGGATTGGATTCCAGGCTTTCAAAGGATCTCCCTTCTGATTTGCAGAAGCTACGCTGCAAGGTGGTGGCATTCTCTTTTTGGATCTCCAAGATATCAAATTTTTTTGTTGGCTATGGCATCCTAAAAAGTTTCTTCATTTAAATTCATTGCAGGTCGCTTTTCAAGCTTTGAGATTTGCTGCACCGATTCTTGATCTTGGAAACAAGCTAGCAGAGAGGATGAGAAGCAAGGGTCCTTATCTTGCTCTCCATCTTCGAATGGAGATGGATGTTTGGGTGCGTACTGGCTGCCTTCCTGGAATGAGTGATGAGTTCAACGAGATTATTCATGAGGAGAGAAAGCGTAGGCCTGAGCTTCTCACCGCGAGATCAAACATGTCCTATGAGGAAAGAAAGTTGGCCGGTCTGTGCCCCCTAAATGCTTTTGAAGTCACAAGGTATTGCTGCAATTTAATGGGCAAATACTTAAATTTCAGCATCAAATTAAGTTTTTTTTTTTTTTCCTCATAATGATGGCTTTGTTTTTCAGGCTTCTCAAAGCACTTGATGCTCCGAGAAATGCTAGGATATACTGGGCTGGGGGAGAGCCGCTTGGTGGGATGGCTGCTTTGGAGCCTCTCAGGAAAGAATTCCCAGACTTGTACAACAAGAAGAAACTATCCCTTCCTGGTGAATTGGAGCCATTCGCCAATAAGGCCTCTCTTCTTGCTGCGATTGATTACATTGTCTGTGAGAAGAGCGACGTCTTCATGCCTTCCCATGGAGGAAATATGGCTCATATGATTCGGGTACTTCTTTCTTCATCTTGACAGCAAAAAAATCTTCTTAGATTATTTTAATTATAATTCTAGGTGAAAACATGACCACAACAAATAAATAACAAGAGTGCTTTTTGTTTTGTAAACTGTTACAAGACTATTTTTATTAACAGCACAATATAGAACCCTTGCACTCTAATAAATCGTGGGTTTTCTCATCAAAGAACAGATTTTGAAGTTTATTAGCATAATTTTTAGTGCTGCCCTGAATTCTGAGGATTGCCAACCTTCTGCTTGTTTCTGGTTTCAGGGGCACAGGGCTTTTGCCGGGCACAAGAAGTTCATAACCCCAAACAAGCGGCAGATGCTGCCTTACTTGCTGAATAACTCACTCTCAGAAACTGAGTTCAATCGGATTGTGAAGGAATTGCACCGTGGATCCCTCGGGCAGCCTGAATTCCGGAGTGATAAGGTTGGGAAGGATGTGACAGCCTTCCCAATTCCCGACTGTATGTGCAATTCTACTTCAACAAGCCTTACGCTGTAGCAGTGGCGTTCAAAGCTAGAGTTTTGAATATCGTAACTGCAAAATTTTTGTGGCATCTTTTTCCCCTGGAATTCAGATTTTGTCCTTTGTCGTCGGACATGAATGGAGGCCCAAATTCAACTGGGCAATATGGAAGAGAACAGCTGAAGGGCCATCGTTGGGCCCAGAAGCAAGAGCCCTCCTCTTGCTACCATTGATTGAATTACAGTTACGAGCGCCTCTGGTTTTTTTATTTATTTCAACACCTTCTGTATGTATACGTAAATTATTTTCAGTGGATAGTGCCAGAGAGGATTCTTTTGTATTCTTGGTAGTGTCTATATCATTAATTTTGTATCTTTGTAGAGTGTATGTAAATAGTGCTCATCTTTATCTGGAAAGGAAAATATGAATTTTTCTATGGTTCTCATTAGTTGAGCAGTCGGATTCTTCCTATTTCTTTTCAAAAAATGTTGGTTTATATAAAAAACTGACGCTTTGTTAGGCAATTCTCTTGAATCATTGAGGAGCGTCGCGTACTCAAATTGGTTGGTCGGGTAGCTGCTTGTCAGTTGTAAGTCCCCTTTGGTCTGGGATTCGATTCCCTCTCGAGTGTAGGGTGAAGTACTCGAATTGTTAGGCGTGTTGGGGATAGTCAGGCTCGTATAATAGTCTCAAACTATTCAATATATATATATATATATATAATAGTTTGAGACTATTATATTTTCGGGAAAGTAATTCTCCCGCGGATTGGTTGGCCAGGCAGGGGAAGATTATGGGTAACCTTATTGTCGATATTTCACCTTCGCACCAATTAAAGCTGCTGTTACAGGGTGACTCTTTGGATTTGCCTTTCATAAGGAGATAATGTTTTTATTTTGGTATTATTTGCTGGTACTTGCGGCGGTGGCTTTTATTTGGGGGTTTTGGGGGTTTTTGGGGGTTTTCACAATATTGGGTTCTATGTTTTATGGTGCACTTGCCCTGCGGGCAGGATTTTTTGGGCGTTACAGTTTTGGCTTTTGCCTTTGTTGGAACTTCAAGACCTACATGAAACTTTTGTTGGAAGGTGTTTTCTCTCCTATGAAGTACCTTAAATCGTTATACATGACTAAACTTTTACTGGATAACCTTCTATACTTTCTCGGTTGGGAGCCCATCCTTCTGCATGATTGCGATTACCGTATTTTTAGTATTTATTTTGGTCTCCACTTTTTCTGGGTGCAGCTATTTTTTGCTTGGATCCTTTTGGTTTATCTCATTATGATGGGTTGTTTTGGTAATATTTTTGTTTTCTGGTTTCGTTTAGCTGGGCATGGGGGGATCTCATTATGCTTTCTTCTTTGGTTTGGTCTTTTCCTCCCTTGCTATACCTTCATATGCTTCAACTTCTTCCTTCATGATTTCTTCTTATATATGCAGGTGTCCTCTTTGCTTGATCGGGTCGACGCGAGATTTTGCTTAAACTACATTCGATCGAGGTTGAAGGACGTCGCTGCGCTCAAGCTATTTTTGCTTCCATCTTACAACTCGTCTCGGGATATCTCTGGGCGGCTTCGCACTCCTCGACTACACTTATTCAACCTTCCATCCCACCGTCTTCATTTTCTTGGCCTCATTTCTTTTATGTTTTTGTTTCTTTTGTGGGTATACCATGGTCGGGATATTCATGCTTACTGTTTTGGGTTTACCTTTCATTCCTTATTTTTGATTTTATGTCTGAGTTGGGTATACTTTGATGTCTTTTCTGTTTGGGCTTGGGAATCCTTAACGAGTGCGTTTTGTATGGTTTTGTTATTTTTAGGGGGGGATCCCCTCCCTACCCAACTTTTTGTGCTCTTTTTGTGATTAACACGTCGCTCTTTATATATAT